ATAATGATCATGTGCCATCAAGTTAATTCTGGCTTACAGTGACCCTTTTCCAAATAGAAAATATTCAGATGTGATTTACCCTTCCCTTCTTCTAGGGGGAGCCTTGGGACTGGGCAGCTTACCCAAGGCCACCCAGGCTGGCTGTTCTCCTTGTAGGCACCATGGAGAATCTGGTAGAAGGCATCACACTCTGTATAGAGGATTTGGAACAGCATCTAGTGTGGCCAGGGACGCGAATTCGAGAGTGACAATCCCTTCCACACTGGAGACAAATACAGTCTGTCCCCTGTCCAGCTCCCTGATTTTGCTGGTTTCGGGACTGCCTCTTTGCCTCAGCCTCCTGGACAAGGGTCTCTTCAAATTCGGAGAGGCCGTGATGCACCACCTGCCTCCAGGCTGAACACTCAGACGTCAAAGTTTCCCATCTGTTGAGATCCATTCCTAAAGCCTTCAGATCCCGCTTGCAGATCTTCTTGTATCGCAGCTGTGGTCTCCCTCTGGGGTGATTTCCCTGCACTAATTCTCCATACAGGAGATCCTTTGGGATCCGACCATCAGCCATTCTCATGACATGCCCAAACCAATGTAGACGCCGCTGTTTCTGTAATGAAACAGGAACACCTAAACCACTGAACTAGCCAGCCAACCGTCGTATCAATAGTTTCATTTGACCATTCTGCCTTTGGTGGAATCTAGACTTGAGTAGTTAGAGTATATCAGGAAAAACTACTGACTTATTACAGAATCTAGATTTCTTTTTCACTTTCCTGGCATCCCCTTACCTAAGTTTTCGTGGCCATTCAAGGGGGAGACTCTTGTTAGCAACTACTAAATTTTGTTTAAAATGCTGGCTGAATAGCTCAGTGATTTTGAGCCAGAGCTTGAGAGAGGGATTCCCCACTGTGTCTCCTGTGACTGGAGCCAGCTTGGTAGCCTTGAGCAAACTCCCCACTGTGTCTCCTGTGACTGGAGCCAGCTTGTGTAGCCTTGAGCAAACTGCAGGTCTTCCCTCCAGCCACTATTTGATTTACAGTATGTTTTTTTTTCTTTTTTCATTCCATTTTGAACAATTGATCATTGATGTTATATATTGATGTTATATTTAATTGTTTTAGTTTAAGTGTTGTTAGCTGCCCAAAGTGGTTATTTGATCAGATGGGCGGGATATAAATGAATGAATGAATGAATGAATGCACAGTCCCAAGGCACCTCCAGAAGAAGCGCATGATAAACTATTTCTGAGCATTTCCTACCTTAAAACTAGTCAGCCCCAAAAATGAATGAATGAATGAATGAATGAGTGCACAGTCCCAAGGCACCTCCAGAAAAAGCGCATGATAGACCATTTCTGAGCATTTCCTACCTGGATAGCCCTGAAAAAGGTCGCCATAAATTGGCGATTATGATTGTTAACTTAAAACTAGCCAGGCCCAGCTAACTAATTTACAATACGTCGACCTTAATTGTGATTTAACTGTGAACCCAAACCTACCCCTGCGCAACAATTATGGGCGGGCTTTGGAAGGGGTTAAAGGGAACAAGCCTTCCCCTTCCCTTTTCCTAGAGGGGCCCGGATCTTGTGGCGAGAGGGCGGGATGTAAACAGTGGATGCCACTTCCGGCTCCGCCCACCGTGGGAAAGTGGCCTTTGAATTTCCCAGGCTCTGGTTTAAGGGGGGAAATAAAACCTACCAGGCTTAGTTGGAGGAAAAACGAGGTGAGTGAAAAAAGTGCGTGGTGTTGGTGGGAATGAAGGAGGGAAGGGCCCGATCCTGGGGGGGCGGGGCGGGGAGGACTCTAGAGAGGGAGGTACCAAAGTGGGTGGGAAACCCAAAGCAGAAATGGGTCCCTTTTGGCCAGGGCTAGGAATTGCCAACTTTTCAGCTAACCCCCTGCTCCTGTGCTTTTAACAGCCACTGTGGGTGATTGCAGGTGATCATGTTTCACTTCCTTGCTTTTGAAAAACTTCATGTAGTGACTTCGACAAGTAAACCAAGAGATGCCTAACTTACCCAGATAAGGAGTCAGTGTTTAATGCACCCTATCTATCTATCTATCTATCTATCTATCTATCTATCTATCTATCTATCTATCTATCTATCTATCTATCTATCTATCTATCTATCTATTTCCATCTGTATCTATGGGTATATTATGTGCTCTCAAATAAAAACCGACTGAAGAGACTGAAAGAACTGGACATGTTTAGCCATGCAAAAAAGAAGCCGGAGGGGAGAGAGGAGATCACTGTTCAAAGACTGAAAGAACTGAGCATGATTAGCCATGGGGGAAAAAGACTGAGGGGAGAGAGGAGATCACTGTTCAAGTCACACAGAGGAGGGGCAGGATCTTTTGTCAAATATCCCAGGTTGCAGGACACATAATAATAGGCTCAAGTTGCAGGAAGCCCAATTTCAATTGAATATCAGGAAAAACCTCCTAATTTTGGGGGTAGTAGGAGAATGGAACTCATGACCTCGAGAGGTGGTGAGCGCTCCAACACCGGAGGCATTCAAGAGAAATTTAGACAACCACCTGGCAAATCTGCTTTGATTTGTATTTCTCTCTGGCAGATCTGCTTTGATTTGTATTCCTATACATTTAGCAGGGGGTTGGACTCAGTGGTCTTATAGGCCCCTTCCAACTTCATGATTCTCTGGTTCAGTGACGGGTTGGACTCAGTGGTCTTATAGGCCCCTTCCAATTTCATGATTCGCTGGTTTGGTGATTTATAATGACCCTAAACAGGGTTTTCAAGGTAAATGAGATATTTAAGGAGTGGTTTTGCCAGTTCTACCCCTTCAGTGAGTTTCTGTAGCTGACCAGGGAGGGATTTGAACCCATGTCTTCTGAGTACTGGTCTGTCACCCTATTATATCCCATTGGACATCCCATCTTTATCTATATTTTAAAAAATGAGATATTCCAAAGGTCTGTCACCCTATTATATCCCATTGGACGTCCCATTTTTATCTATATTAAAAAATGAGATCTTCCAGAAAAAAAAAGAGAGAGCGATACCGGGGTAGGCAGATATGTTATATAATCACAGGGTGAGGATGAGATGCCAAAAATGAGATATTCCAAAAAAAAAAGAGAGAGATAGAGAGAGAGAGATACTGGGGTAGGCAGATATGTTATACGGATAATCACAGGGTGAGGATGAGATGCCCCGTGGCCTCTTTTAGGGAGGATATTTCAAAGACATCTTCCATTTCAAAAGCTGCCCAGTCCCGGTTCTGATTTAGACATGGAGATCCATAAAGAGGAATGCTTGGGGATCTTGCAATTTCCTCTCCATAGTGAACAGCACCTGGACAGCAGTGGCCTTGGCAGGCAGGTAGGGCACCCAACTGCTGTCTCCTCTGCTTGAACAAGAGGCATTATAATTCTTAAAATTAATGACATCATCCCCAATGGTTCCTGGTTACATAATAAGAACAGGCAATGTAGTGCTACTGAGTGAACTCTTTTGCCTTCCATTTTGGTAAGGCTTTTGGGTTTAAGTGGACACTTAGAAGAAGAATGACTGGGTGGCCCAGAGTTTGGAAAAGTTACTCTTTTGACTACACCTCCCAGAAGTACTCAGCTGGCTGTTGTATTCTGGCAGCTGGAGTCCAGACAAGAAACTTTCTCAAGCTCTGCCTCTCTAGATCAACTGAACTCTCTTTGGAGACAAATGTGTTGAAACGGAGGTGGTCCTCCTTGGGACGCATTGTGAGAAGGCAGGATTCTCTGGAAAAAAATATAATTCTGGGGAAGGTGGAAGGCATCAGGGAAAGAGGAGGACCAAATACAGTGGTGCCTCGCTTAACGGGTGGCCCGTTTAACGACGAAATTGCATAGCGATGAAGAATTTGCGATGTTCCCTATGAGAAAAATCGCTTTGCGATTATCGATACCCTGCTTCGCTTACCGATCATCGCATAGCGATTATTTCCCAACAGCTGATCAGCGGTTCTAAAATGGCCACCAGGTAAAAAAATGGCCGCCCACTGTGTTTGGGGACGGATTCCTTGCATACCGGGCAGCGAAAATGGCCGCTGTATGGAGGATTTTCGCTTTAAGGTGAGTTTTTAGCCCATAGGAACGCATTGAAGGGGTTTCAATGCATTCCTATGGGCTTTTAAAAATTGCATAGCGACGAAATCGCTTTGCAGCTATTTTTGCTGCACGGATTATCGTCGCTATGCGAGGCACCACTGTACAAGGGGGACTGACTTTCTAAAGGAAGCCACAGGCTTGAGTCTGCAACAGCTGAGCAGGTCTATGGGAACAGGTCATTTTGGAGATGGCTGCTTTGTAGGGTCACCCTGGGTGGGAGGTGAGTTGACAGCATGTAACAACACCTCACTTTAGGGTTCCCTCTGCTTCCAGCTGACGGTCTGTTTCAAGGAGTGATAGTTCTTGTTTTTTTTGTTTTTTGTTTTTACCACCACAGCTATCACTACCACCCCCTTTCCCCCTCCACTTTGGATACGTAGGCATTGGTGGAGCAGCCACAGCTAACTGAGGCCTTCAAGCTTTTTGGGGGCTGTGAGCGTAAAATGGAGGCTGAGCTCCAAGATGGATCATCTCCTGGCCTTTTGAAGGCTGAGCAAGAAAAGGGGATGAGAGGACTGAACTCCGTGAGGCCTGATCCAGAGAAGGGCGGAAGAAGAGAGACCCATGCCATTCATGGGGAGAACCTCCGGGATTTTGGGGGGAAAGCTGTCCCGGAGGAAGTGACCCGAGAGCCTCGGAAGGGGCTGCAGCAGCGATGGGAGTCTCAGCTTCAGGAGTTCCTCAAGGCTCTGGAGCCCCCTCACACCGAAGGCGGAGGCTCGCAGCTCTCGGGACCCCTCCCGAGGAGCCGTCCTCTCCCTTCCCTGACCCCCTCTGAAGGGAGAGCCAATTCTAGCCACCGGTCTAGAGGCGAGAGGGTTTTCTATCTGCCGTCCAGACCGAGGGAGGACGTCCACCAGGGTGAGAGGAGACCTCTAGACCGAGGGAAGCTAGACAGCCGGGAAGCCAAGAGGTTGATGCTCCGCCGAGAGGCCAGCAACCTGCATGACGAATGCCACCTTTTCCGGTGCTTTGGCTACCAGGAAGCTGAAGGACCCCGTGAAGCCTGCCGGCATCTCCGGAGGCTTTGCCACCAGTGGCTGAAGCCCGAGAGGCACACCAAGGAGCAGATCCTGGAGCTGGTGATCCTGGAGCAGTTCCTGGCTGTCTTACCCCCAGAAATGCAGAGCTGGGTTCGGGATTGCAGTCCCCAGACCTGCACCCAAGCGGTGGTCCTTGCCGAAGACTTCCTGACGTGGCAGCAAGAGAATCAGGTGCGGGAGGAGCAGGTGAGTGAGGCTGGTTCAGGCCTGGAACCCACTGAGGTATGGAGGGGGCTTAATCCTTCAATTAAAGGATGCAAGAGCTGGAAAGCTCGAGAATGGAGTGTGTTGAATTGGATTTATATTATGATCATTTATTTATTCATTTGTTTGATTTATAATACTGTATACCATCCTTCAGGCCTGTGGCCACTCTGGGGACAGTTCACAAGAGAAAAGCAACACAAACAAAGTCATAGAGTACAACTCAATTATGAAATCAAGTGTGACAGATTACAGCCATGTTGAAAAAAATCTTTAAAAACCCTTAAGAGAATCCATGCTAAAAACCTACACATTCAGAATGGTGATAATCAGTCTCATTTACCAGCTCTTAGCTCCAAATTCACGGGGTTCTGTAGCTGACATGAATCGAAAGCCCTGCTGGAATCACCAATTTTTTTGTTGCTTCTTAAAAGGGCCAGGTAGGTGGTGGTTCATTGCACAGCCGAGGAGAGACCACCAAAAAGACCCGCTTTCTTGTTTTCTGTCTTTGGGATCAGCATCCTCAACCATCCTGCCTGAGATGTGTGGGTTACAAACAAGTAACCAGTGTAGAGCGGCCAGAATCGGATAAATATGTTGGAATCTATTGGCTCCACTTAGGAGCCTGGCCGCCATGTTCTGGACCTGCTGATGTTCCGCATCAGCCCTTTGGGTAGCCCCACGTAGAAAGCATTACAGTAGTCAAGAGTTCCATCCTGCCTTTTCTCGAGTGAGTTCAAGGCACGGTACACGAGTCTTTCTTTCCTGACTTACAGGAGCTACTCCGTAACCAAGGCGTGTCCATCGTTGGATGGCGATTACAATTTGGATCTCTCAAGACTTCATTCCCATGCTAACGGGAATTAAGAAAGGTTACTTTTAGACTACAAATCCCACTATCCCCTAATGGCCACCCTTCCTGGCCTTCCCCCTTCCCTGGTTCGCTGATCTCCTGCCACCAAGGTTGTGCAAAATATTAACGGAGAAATCCATTATTCCAGTGGGCCTCTTAACAAAAGAGGGGACCATCTCAGTCCCCGGAGGTGAAGCAAACCTTTGGGGAGGCCCTAGATGCCGACCTGCCTTTCCCACTATCATTTGGTTGTTTCCTAGTTTTTTTGCACAAGTGTTCCCGCCATTCTAAAAGGTAGAAACTGAGTTCGATTTCATTCATTTATTTAATTAAAATATTTTTACACCTCCTTGTACCTGAAAAAGCCCCCAAGGTGGCTTACATCATTAAAACGAAAATACTTAAAGCTAGAAACAATTACTGCAGTATGCAAATAGTAAAAAAGTATGAAACAAAGGCTACTCTAAAAGGTAAAGGTAAAGGTTCCCTTTGACAATTTTTGTCCAGTCGTGTTCGACTCTAGGGGTCGGTGCTTATCCCTATTTCCAAGCCATAGAGCCAGCGTTTTGTCCGAAGACAATCTTCCGTGGTCACGTGGCCAGTGCGACTTAGACACGGAACGCTGTTACCTTCCCACCGAGGTGGTTCCTATTTATCTACTCGCATTTACATGCTTTCAAACCACTAGGTTGGCGGGAGCTGGGACAAGCGACGGGCGCTCACTCCGTTGCGTGGATTCGATCTTACGACTGCTTGGTCTTCTCACCCTGCAGCATAGGCTTCTGCGGTTTAGCCCACAGCGCCACCACGTCCCTGGCACCACCACGTCCCTGGGTGCCACCACGTCCCTGGAAGGCTACTCTAAGAAATGGTAAATGAAAGCAAGACTCAAAAGCACATTCAAAACAATAAGGCACATTTAAGAACCCCACTCAGGCAAACAATCACTTGCTTGCTGAAGGATAGCAAAGAGGCAGCCAGGCTGGCCTCCAGTGGGAGGGAGTTCCAGAGTCTAGGAGCAGCCACTGAGAAGGTTCTCTTCACGACATCCTTTCTGTTGTTTCAGATGATCAGCCCATTTGAGGAGGAAGGCTCATTCAAGAAACCATTGCTGGATGGCTGGATGAAGCCAAAGGATGATGGAGACACTGCTGAGTTGGGTAAGAGCCTTTGGGCCTCACCATGCTTTGGTGTTCCTCAGAGAAACAGGACGTCCATGTGAGCTCCATTCAATGCTAATGCCTAGGCATTCTTGGCTGCTGTTATCTTTCTGCAATTAGAACTCCCACTTCCTTGGAAGCTAGGAAGCCTTGTGGTACAAACTGATGTTTGTTTACTCAGAAGGAAATCCTACTGTGTTCAATGAGATTTACTCCCGGATAAGTCTGCATAAAAATAATCCCATGCCATCAAGTCAATTCTGACTTATGGAGACCTTTTTTGGGTTTTTCTAGGTAAATACTCAGAAGTGGTCTACCTTTCCCTTCCTCTAGGGGGAGCCCTGGGACTGTGCAGCTTGCCCAAGGCCTCCCAGGCTGGTTCTTCTTGCAGGAGGCACCATGAGGAATTGAACTCCCTACCTCTGGCTCTGCAGGTCACCTACCTCAACCACTCAGGATAGGATTCATTCATTCATTACAATGACATCCCTTCTTTGCAATGCTGATCACTCAGCCACACTCTCTCTGTGATTAGATTGTGACTGAAGTCATTCACACCCATGCTTGTTACCATATTTGCCGGCATACAAGATGACTTTTTGGGCCCAGAAACATGCCTCCAAGTGGGGGGGTCGTCTTGTACGCTGGGTGCACTGAATGACGCGGGGCCGCGCTGGCCGGGGAGGAAGGCGGGCGGGCAGGCAGGCAGGCAGGCAGGCAGTTGGTCTGGATGGAGTTTTCCTCCTCCTCCTCAGCCTCTTGCTCTTCCTCGCCCTCTTGCTGCCATGCCTGAGCCGCTGCCGGGCTGCCCGCTGCTCTGCGCCGCCGAGCCAGCTCGCCCGCCCCCGCCTGTTTCCCCTCTTCCTCCTCCTCCTGTTGGGGGGGTCATCTTATACGGCCGGTCGCCTTGTGCGCTGGCAAATACGGTAGTTGCGAGACTACAGGAGAAATGGCTGTTACAGAGGCAGGAAGTATTGAACGATGTAAGCGAAAAACCTTCCCGTGGACCCACGATCTGGCCGTGCCTTGTTCTACTCAGCCTTCACTGGACAGGAAGACGAGTTTGCTGAGCAGTGATTTGAAAAACCTCAGGTGAAACTGAGGTCCTTTATTTGCCCCAGTGGGCAAAAGGTGTAACCAGTGATTATCTGAGTTGCGCTGTAATTACAATCAGGTGTTCCTGATGGAGAAAAACTGGCCCTCCTCAGAAGGAACCCCACCGGAATAGGGAGGCTTCTTCAGAGATAAGGGGAATGAGTGGATATTACTTTTTCTTTGCACTCTTGAAGTGTCAGGTTTTTGTCTGTAAGAACAATAATATCCATTTGAGGGGAAAAAATATTGTGATGTGTCCAAATTAAGAGTTTCTGACTCTCCTGGTTCTGTCGGACTGCAGGGCCCATTTCTCCAACCATGCTGGCTGAGGATTATGGAGATTGTATTTAAATTTTATTTGGGGACCCAAGACTGGGAAACAGTAGATTCAATACATTCACCATACATGGGCTCCCTCTCCGTCTACTTTGCATGCAGTGGGAGTTAAGATTTGAACGTTTATAGTCGGGGTGACATGCGTATGAATACCAGTCACCAGAGAACAACATTGAAAGTGGGCCGTTCCCTTGATGCCCAGTGTGTGGGCCTCTCAGAAAGCCATCTGGTGGTTCAGCGTGGATAGTAGCTCGCCTGATGGCATTCACCTTTGTTCTTGTCCATGGACAGAAAAACAGGTTCTCCAGATGGGGTTGACTCCAGTTGCTATCAGCCCTGACAGCCTAGCCAAGGGTGGAGGGATGATGATGGGAGTACTAGTTCACAAACATCTGGAGCGGGGGTTTTAAACTCAATTTACCTGTGGGCCGCTAGAGGCAGAGTCTGGGTGAGGCTGGGTCGCATCAGATTTTCCGCCAAGCAGAGCAAGAGCCCGAGGAAGCCACCCAGGAGTTTCCTTAGCCGGCAGACAGGTGGGCTGGCTGGCAGGCTGCAGTTCTGGATGGAGGGTGCAAGAGGTGCTGTCTTGGGGGAGAGCCGGAGAGCGAGGCGAGGCTTTTTTTTTTACTCTTGACAGCAGAGGATGTGTGGGCGCTTGGGGGGGGCAGGCAAGGCGAAGGCCACAAACTATCATCGGGGGGGCCGCAAATGGCCCCCGGGCCACATGTTTGAGACCCCTGATCTGGAGCGTCACAAGATCATCTTACATGCTAAGACTACGAGCTGAAATCCTAGCAAGTCGCCACTAGAAGGAGGCCCATCCACTCGGTGGGGAGTCCATTCCTCTATAAATTCCATTGATTGAGTAGACCTGCTCTAGTGGTGACTCGGTGCTGGGTTTCCGCCATCGGGTAATTTGTGTTCCTTGCTTGTGTTTATCTTGGCAGAGGATGAGAAGTTGTCTAGGACCGAGAAGAAGGACCCCGAAAACTCCGAGGAGTTGGAACCCCATTGGATGTTGTCAGGGAGACCGGACCAGAGTGTCCCTCTCTGTTCAGATCGCGGGGAAGTTCCTGAGATACTTTTTGGGAACTGCCTGGAGAGAGAAGCAGGGAAGTTCATCAACTCTCAGGGCACCTACGAAGACCTAGACGAGAGTGCGATTCAGCCGGGAGCCTTCCCCGGCGGCGAGAGGGACAATGCCTGCCACGTCTGCGGGAAAGCCTTCTGCCGGCGCTCCAACCTCATCGCCCACGAGCGGACCCACTCAGGAGAACGGTGGTACAATTGCTCCGAGTGCGGGAAGAGCTTCGTCAGCCGAGCGGCCTTCCTCATCCACCAGCGCGTGCACACGGGGGAGAAGCCTTACAAGTGCTGCTACTGCGGGAAGGGCTTCAACACGGGCTCCAGCCTGACCCGACACAAGAGGATCCACACTGGTGAGAAGCCCTACAAGTGCCTGGCCTGCGGGAAGCGCTTCAACGACTACTCCAATTTCATCGTCCACAAGAGGATCCACACGGGGGAGAAGCCCTACGAATGCTCCGTCTGCGGGAAGCGGTTCAGTGACAACTCAAACTTCATCAAGCACCATCACTAAGGAGCGATCGGAGGTCATCCAGGACTTTTTTGGAACAAAAAAGGAGGCTAGGAAGCCCTCCAGAGTCACCTGCCGAGTCAGCATAGGATGTGTTTCCCAGTTGTGATGGGTTTTGCTGTGAAGGCTGGAGGGAGAAATGGGTTCCTCACAGCCTCTGTTGCCTTGGCGAGCAAGCTTCCAAAAAAGGTAGAGGTGGTGGATCTCTCCCTATATCTGATGAACTAACTTGTTTCTCTTCGTATCACCCCCCCCAAACACACAGAAACGTGTATTTCCCCCCACCACCCCTACCACTCGTCCTGCAATCTATTGATCGGGTGGTGGATCTCTCCCTATATCTGATGAAGTAACTTGTTTCTCTTCGTATCACCCCCCCTAAACACACAGAAACGTGCATTTCCCCCACCACCCCTACCACTCATCCTGCAATCTGTTGATCGGTGGTTCCCAATCTTGGGTTCCCAGATGTTTTTGGACTACAACTCTTGGCCAGCACAGCTCGTGGTGAAGGTTTCTGGGAGTTCTAGTCCAAGAACATCTGGGGACCTAAAGTTGGGAACCACGGATCTATAGATTGAGCGTGCTGTTTGCTTTCACAGTTGAACCCAGATCCTTATGGAATCTGCCATGTCTGCAGTTTGGGATGGATGCTTGTGGATCAAGGGTTGACACAGAGAAGGCTAACACGAGAGTGATTCAGATGTCTTCCTAAAAAATTGCCAGCTGAAGAAGGAAGCTGGACGGGGTGAAATCGTTGTAGTGGCCAAGAAGCCGGTTCACTCTTGGTCCCTGTTGCAAATTTTGCTCAACTGGAGAAGGGCCTTGTCTCAGAGGTTATGTTTGTATCTTGGACCTACTTCCTGTGGTTAAGGTTCCAAAAAGGAAGCTGCCACTTTCTGGGTATTGGAGTTTCTTTGGGAGAGGCTCTTTTCCAAAACTCAAGGGAAGTTAGACCACAGCGCCTGGGAATGCTGCGACCGCGTCCATTTTGGAACATTAACAAGAGGAAATAGATCCAAGATCGCAACAGATTCTCTGAGACGAGGCCCTTCTCCAGGTGATTGGAAAGGTTGGTGCCTGTAGATGTAGGTCTATATCCTGAAAATCCCCAAAATTCTGCCTGGGGAGTTCTTGGAGAATTCTGGGAGTCCAAGAAATCCGGCATATCCCTGCCGAGTCCTTTCTGATACTAAGACTGGATTAAAGAGGGCTAAAAGCTCATTGGTACAACAACACCAGCTTTGAGGGAAGGCGGCCCAAGGTTTCCTAGGCTGGCCCAAGATGTTTTGCTGCTTGAGGCAATGGACAAGAGTCCTTCTCCACCTATAGAAGCTGAAGAATTTCACGTTGGTCCTGGAGATCACACAGCAATTCCTGTCTTACCTGTTCAGGAAAGGTTGTGTGGAGCACACAACGTGATTCTCCATTAGAAGGGAACAATGGGTGAGTAGGAAGTTGCAGCCAGCTCTTCCCAATCCTCTGCCACCTGACGTGCCTGCCTCGCTCTGTCTCATGATAGGGCCAGCCCTACTGATTCATTTCTGGCATTGGAGGGGTCCATAGTAAGAAAGATCCCTCTCAGCCTGAGGTTTTGAGCAGCTGCCGGCAGAAGACTCCAGCCTTTCTCCACCTCTCCATATCTCTTTGACTACAACTCCCATCATTCTAAGCCAGCGTGGCCAGTGGTTTTCTGAGAGAAAGGAGATTTTAGCCCAGTACACATGGAAAGCAAAATAAAATAAAATAACGGGGAGGAGTGATGACAAGACATTCTCCATCCAAGTTTTAACGGAGTTTTGCAACAACCACACCGAGTGCTGTTCATTTTTTTGTGGGAGGTTACTAGTTCCACATCATCTGACATTGATCTCCTCATGAACAGGTAAGCAGTGCTATAGCACCTATATATTATGGACAAGTCTCCCCAGGGCATGCAAGCACATTTTCAGGTACAATGATGATGATGATAATGTGATGTCAAGGCAATTATGACTTTGGGTGACCCTGCAAGCACATTTTCAGGTACAATGATAATGATGGTGATGTGATGTCAATTCTGAAAAAACCCTTTCAGGGTTTTTCAAGGTAGAAGCCATAGTAGGATCCCATATCCATGGGATCAGTGTCTGCAATTTCACATCTACACTCTGAAAATATTAAAAGAAAAAAAATCCAGAAAATCTTTTTACATGTATTACTAGAACTGCCCGTTAGAGGGAGCTATGTATATTTGTTAGTAAATCATACACTGGTGCCCCCTAGTGGCCAGTTCTGGTAACGCATGTGAAATCAGTGTTTACTATTATCCGTGGTTTTCAGTATCAATCCCCAGCAGATATGGAGGTCCTACTGTACCTGGAAGTGGTGTTTTACCCTTCCCTTTTTCGGGAGCCCTGGAACTGTGCAGATTGCCCAAGGCCACCCAGGCTGGCTCTTCTTCCAGGAGCCACAGTGGGGAATCAAACACCCAACCTCTGGCTCCACAGCCAGATTTCTAAACCACTGAGCAGTTCAGCTAGCTTTTTTCCTACTATAGCAACCCCATTTAATGTTGGTTGATGGGAGCTAAGGAGGGGGGGTAAGCCAGGAGTCTAGTGAAGCTTCAGTACTACTACTCAGCAATACCTGAGCAGACCAGATGGGCGGGATACAAATCAAATAAATAAATAAATAAATAAATGAAACCTCTGTATGAAATTGCATTGGGGGGGAGGGAGAGGCTGCTACCAGAGATTCAGGCACATACTTTAGAACGCCAATGTCTCCTCCGCTACCTCAATGTAGTTTTTTTCCTCCTTACTTTCCCTGAGGAACATGGGGCGGGTAGTTCCATTGGCTCCTTCTCCAGCTTAGCCATAGGGTTAGTGGTGTGGAATCGTGGGAAATGTAATACAACTGCATCAGGAAGACCCCCACAGGTTCCTTGCCCTCACAAAATCATTTTTATTTTTTTGTGGCACTGTTTGAAAACGAGTCGGGGGGTGTTGTGTGTGTATTCCTTTTAGCAAGGCTTCCCCATACAGGGATCCCCACCATGTTGAAATTATTAGCTCTGCAGTCCTACAGCCTTATCTAGAGAGCAGCAGGATGGGAAAGTTGGTTTTGATTTTATTTTATTTCTGCGTGTATGCGGGTTGAGACGAGGGAAATCTTGTGCCTCCCACAACTTTGGACATCAGCTTTTTAAAGACGCCACCAGAGACCGTGACCAAAGGGAAAGGATGATGGAATTGTAGTCAAAGACAGCGGGTAGGTCAAAGGTTTCTCGTCCTTGTGCTTCCTGCCGCCTTTGGTGACTTCAACGCTGCTCTCAACTCCCAATTCTCCGTCCCATCTGCGGACTGGCCCCGAATCTACTATATGGGTGCTACAACTCTGTAGACAGACAGTGGTGCCCAACCTTGGGTCACCCAGATGGCTTTTTGGACTGCAACTCCCAGAAACCTCGGCCTAGCACAGTCGACGGGTGAAGGCTTCTGGGAGTTGTAGTCCAAGAACACCTGGCTTGCTCAAGGTTGGGAACCACTGCTGCATGATGCAGTTTAAGAGCCAAAGCAGTCATGTTTCATTACAGCATGGAATTTTTGTGTGTGTGTGGGTGTGCTTGTGCGTGGATTTGAAAATATAGTTTACATCATGAGTCAAACATCCATAAGATTGTCTCCTGGGATAATTTCTCATGAAATCCTTTTCCCGGGTGTATTTATCGTTACCTGCCCCGATTTTGAGACCAATCAGCATCATTTTATGGGTTAACTGGGATTGTGAATTCACAAGCAATACTGAACCGGTTCATTTGAACTTCAGGGCCAATGACGATCCATCCACCAGGCGGCAATAAAAGAAGGAACACTGGACATTTACTGTAGGTATTGTAGAGATAATAGAATCAAAGAGTTTTAGGGGAAATGACTACCAACTACTGGCACTTTAATTTTTCTTTTCCTTTATTACAACCTACTAACAAAGCATTTAATCTGTTCTGGGCATCCAATAAATCCACTTGTTTCATAAAACATCCGCTTACTCACTGTCTCTTAACTTGCTTCCCTTCCACCCACCTCTGCTGAGCGGAGAAACGATGGCTGGATTTGTCTTCGGTCCACTGAAAATAATCAGCAAAGCTTTTCACAATAAGGAAATAATCCTTTCTCCACTGTTGTCTGTTGAGCAAGCCACTGCCTTAATGTATAGGGCCAGAGGCGGGGTGGGGGGAAGAACTGTCGGCCAGTACCACGTCTTGGACAAGTTACTGCTATGGGGGACTACAGAGAAAACTAACATTTCCATGTGGTGCCCATTTCTGCCTTCCCTTGTGCCAATGGTGAGTGTAGGCTCTCAGGCTGAAACTTAGGAATTTTTGAATAGCAGGGGGTAATATATCTGGTCCCATAGGCTTCCCTGATCCTCCTGACCTTCGCTACATCAGCAGCCTTCGGGGAAAATGCTTTCCCCCCCTTTTCCTCCTTATTTTTTTGCAACAACTGTACAGTATATTGTTGTGAGCTTTCCTATTCCAATGTAATATATTTGGGAACTAGACTGGTCTCAAATGATCCGTTAGCTTTGCAAAAGACTTGCTGTAGGAGGTCAGGGGAAGAAAACTGCTAAGACTGGTTTCTTGAACTGTCTCATTCCAGTGCTCTGCTCTTATGGATGGTCCTTGGAGATAATCACGGTAAGCTCCTGCATCCCAACAGGTACCCTCACATCAAGGAATACAGTAGGATCCCCTTATCCAAGGGATCACCATTTGCTGAAAATAATTTTTTTAAAAATTCCCATAAATATATATTTTTATTCATTTTATTTTATTAGATTTCTACCCCACCCATCTAGACCAAAGGGCTACGCATCGTGTTTGCTAAATAATCCATGATTTTCCATCTGCAGAGGGATGGGGCTTTGAGCCGATCTCCCATGGATATAGTGGTCCTGCGGTGTCACATGCATTCAGATTTTTCCCAAAAATAGTAGTTTAGAAATAAAAAGCAAAAGAACCAGCAGCATTAAACACTTTATCTGTCACAGAAAAAATATGAGCCAGGATAATGCACCAGTTTGAGAACTGGGCTAAAAAGAGACCCAAGTTCAAATCTTGCCTCAACCATTTCTACCCCAGCTTGTTGTTGTTTAGTCTTTAAGTCGTGTCCGACTCTTCATGACCCCATGGACCAGAGCACGCCAGGCCCTCCTGCCTTCCACTGCCTCCCGGAGTTGTGTCAAAGTCATGTTGGTCGCTTTGATGACACTGTCCAACCATCTCTGTCCTCTAGCATCCCCTTCTCCTCTTGCCCTCACACTTTCCTAACATAA